AACCCAGGCCATTCTGTGATTCTATGATCCTATGAAATCAGCTGCTCAAGCTCTCTGATATTAGAGAATGGGAAAACTAAAGAGAGACATGCAGCAGAGAGGAGAGGATCTGAGGGCTTTCCTGTGTAGCTGTTTCCTAGACAGTAAAATCTTACTTACACCAACACACCCCAATTGACCTCAGTGGGACTATTCACGTGATGGCATTCTTACCAGAATTACATAATTGGCCCCTATGAGTATTTCACTGTGCAATGCCAAGACCAAGTATCTCAATTCTTGAAAATCTCTTTCCAGACACAGGACCTATTTTCTGTGCCCCTCGGGTTTTAATCAGCTCAGGAATGTTCTTACCTTGACAGCTTCTGCTATCGTCAAGCAAGTTATAGCCCGAAGGACAGATACAGTAGTAAGAACCAGGTGCATTCACACATTCGTGCTGGCAGAGGAACTCTGAGAAGCTGCATTCATCCATGTCTGCAGTGGTAAAACAAACTTTAGTATCTTTGGCTTTACAGTCGAACGAGCAGTCCTGCAGGCAGGTGGCCATCCAGACTACTTGCCCATCACCCCAGCTGGAGGTTGGCACCCTCCAGCTCCCCAGGGTTCTGCAGCAACCTGAAAAAATGCTATACAAGAAGTTATTGGTTAAACATTTTTCTCCTAGGGAAGCCAAAGCTGCTGCTGAACACAATGTATGGCATTTATTTATTTATTTTTCATTTCGAATACCTGTCACTAGTTGGCCATGCTTTCAGTTCTGTTTTACGTCAGAGATAGAGCTACTCCAACGACAAAGCTGCAACTGTAATTTGAAAGGAGAGACTTGGCGGTGATTTTCTTTTCTTTTTTTTTCTCTTTTTTTTTTTTTTTTTCTGGAGAGCAAACTTCCCTTTCCCAGGGCCACATGGGTCCCAGCAGATCTCCTGCAGCCAGCCCTGGCTGTTTTATGTTTCCTAGCCTCTAGCGAGTTACTTCCAAGGCATTCCAGCAAGACTACAAAGCTCATCCCAGCTTTGGTCAGACCTACTGGAAGGTCCAGCCGTCTCCCAGATACCCAGGAAGCTAAGCAGTCTGTCAAACCTCTGATTGAAAGCAGAAATTTTGCTCTTTTCCTCTTGCACTTATGAACTGACCAGTCATTGTATTCTGAAGAACTGTGCTCAAGCAAGAAAGACGAACCTCAGAGCTGCACATGGAGGCATGGCTGACCGAGGGGAAAACACATGCAAAGGCGCTAGACTGAGGGAGGCTGCAGTTAATCATTTCCTTATTTCCCTGTTCTGGGGAAGAAAGAAACAAAGGCCAGAGCCCCAGCCAGGAACTCCCAAGTTCTTATTCCCAGCTCTGACATGTTGACTCTCCCAGGCAAGTCACTTTTACTCTTCAGCCTGAATTTCCCTTTCTTCTAAATTGGGCTCAGTCCATTTATCCAATTCTGGTGTTCTGTGCAGATGCATTGGAATGTATTTGAAGCCCAAATACATTGAAGTGGCTTTATGGCTGCAACCAGATTATCAAAAGGGAGATGAAAGGAACTCTGCACCTACATAGTCCTGTTATTGTGTGACTTGCCCCAGCAAGTTTGCCAAAAAAAACCAGCTTCCTGACAAAACATGGACAATGGGCTGACTCCATAAGGGGACTGAGATATCATCCATCCCCAGACCTCCAGCACATCAGATTCATATAACCTGTGCTCAGCTGCTGTCAAGTGCTGGAGGGACTTAAAGCCCCGAGTGTCCTACATTTCTGCTGCTGAGCCCACACAGGACAGACATGCCTTTGCACACCTGAACACTTCTGGCATTCTGCTGACTGCCTGCAGAGGATGAGATGGTAGGCATTTCAGAGCACATCTAATGCACGTGCAAGGCCTCTCTGATTAGAAAATAATCCTGATGTTGGGAAAGACAGATTGAAATCTCTGCCTCTCTCCTTAAATTGGGACAGGGATGCCTCCCGTCTTCAAGGTAAGCTGGCTGCTAGGCCATGGGCTAATCCAGTGGCCACTGAAGTACATCTGGATCTTGGGTGTCTCATAAGAGTGTCCTCCTAATGAGGCATTGCTTTTGCAAGCCTCAGTGATGTCTAGTGTTTGCTTGTGAAGCGAAGGAAGCTCATCCAGAGAAATCTGACCTGCTTTAATAAGCATATTCTTGCACAGTATTGTCAAGAAAAGGTTTTCTGCTCTAAATCTGGGTGGTGGCAAGTGCCTTTTGCTGGCTTAACTCTCAGACAGGAATAAGGCTCAAGGACCACCTCTTCTGTCACTATTTTGTACTGGCAATATTTATGTGGCATTGCATTAAACTTAACTGATTCAGGCCTCCAACTAGCTCAGGAGCGCATAAAAAGGTGCAGGAGTCTTAGAAGCAGAAAATCCATTAGAAAGCAGAAAACTTAGGTGTTGCAGCTCTAAGTGTTAAATGCGTAAGAGCCTTTTGAGATTTAAGTCTTTGTTCTTTCCCTTATAATAAGAAGGTTCACAGGGAAGAACAGCTTTGGAAACACTGATCTATACACATACTGCATATCACATGTCTTCTCTCTCAGAAACAGCATGTTACATCTGTTTACTGTAAATTAAAAAACAAGTATTTTCCAGTGTGTTTCTCCTTCCAAGAAATATTGGCTGGATTCTCTAATTTTATCAGGCTGTGGGAACATTAAGCACAGAAATAAGTTTTGCCTTCAGTTAAAATAAAACAATAAAACAAAACCAAAAACTAGAGAGGAAAAAGTACAGTGACATAAGCACAGTCTCTTCTACTGTGTGCTGAACAAATTAGCAATAGCTGTTCTAAGAAACCATATATTGTTTCTGAAGTGTAGCCAGAGCCATACAGGGGAAACTGGGGAAGGTTTCAGGCAGAAATGTGCAGTAGTTAAGAGCAAGAGGAATACATGCATTCAACAGACAACTGGAAAAGTGCTTTAGATAAAGTATTTCTTCAATCATAGAAGAATGTTCTAGGCTAGTCCCTGCTTTACTTGCTCTAATAAAGCTTCCTGTTCAGCATTTAGAAAAAGTTTTCTTATGCTTTGTTGTTATGATGGAGTTTTAAATATTTAGCTTATTTCTTTAAAATAATTTGCAGCCTTCCTTCATTGTGCTTTTCTGAGTATTTGCTGTGTGCTTTAACTGGAAAGAAGATCATATGAGTTGCAGCTATCCTGCTGCTAACCATGGACCAACACAAAAAATCTTTTTAAAAACCATGTACAAAGCAATATATTGGAAAAAGAAAACGCAGTAGAATAAAAGAAAACAAAACAGTAAATAACTAAAGACAGTTACCACTGCAATTAACTCCATCAGCTTCCAGTTCGTAGCCAGGTTCACAGCGGCAGAGAAAAGAGCCATAGGTATTGACGCAGGTCTGAGTGCAAGGGTTTTCACTTGTGCATTCATTCACATCTACAGGAAACCAATACCCAATGCATCATCAGTGATTTCTCCCCAAACCCTATTTTCAATTCATTACTGTAAAGCATTTCAAAGAGATTAGCTGTACAGTCAAAATGATTTGTTCTGAAAAAATATAATTAAGTCAGTGTCATTTATTGGGAGTAAAGCTGATGCCTGGAAATAGCATGTTGGAAACACAAGCCTGGAAATGAAGCATTTTGGCAATGTCTTCAATAAAAAAAATAACATGGAAGACAGGGATGAAATATTTATTACAAATGCTTCTGTCTTTATCCTGCAATTGTAAAACCATTGAACTGATTTTGTCATAACAGACCTGAGACAAAATGCAGCAGGATGTACCTGAGGAAGACAATGCAACGAGGAATGGTCCTTATGGAAACCTAGGGCTATGACCAAATCAATTTTTGTTTTCCTTTTAGGATATTAGCAGCTTCTGGAAAGCACTTACATCATCAGCACAGACGCTTTCCTGCAGCGTGTGGGAAGATGCTCCCTGCTTAGCTAGGGAGAGTCTTTATGAAGTGGTTGAGTTGACTTTGATTCACGTAGCACATAACAGCAAAAGGTGGTCTGATGCTCAGGACCTGAGTTTGGAGCTTGGGAGACTCAGATCTCTGACAGAGTTTTTCTCTCTCAGGTGGGTCACACAGGTCAGATTTTAAAAGTAACTTCAGTATCTAAACTCTCTGTAAATTAAGTGAATTGAGTAAATCTATATTTGAGGTGGCTTGGGCCTCTGTGCATATTTATCCTGATACACTGGTCGTGTTGCACCTGTACCCCACCCCCGAGGAATGGTGCAATATCTCAGGCTGACAAACCTATGAACATTTTCAAAAGCAATGTTGGAAAAGTTACTTGTATTCCAAAAATGAAGCAAGTTTTAGGGGTTGGGACCAAATATTTCAGTCATAGTTTACCAAACACAGTACCTTGGCATGATCTTCCGTCATCATTAAGGGTAAAACCTGGGTTGCATGTACAGGAGTAGGAACCAGGCACATTGGCACACAGCTGCTGGCAGTAACCGTAGCGACATTCATCTATATCTACATATGGGAAAGATGGAAAGTAGCAGCAATCACACTGAGTCAGCAGTACCAGTAACAGTGTCCTGGTTATAGATCTAACAGCAAAACTTTAAGGTGTTCAAACACAGAGTTATAGTACATCTCTACCCAAAAGAATGCTGTAATGTGTTTTTATCCACAGCTGACATCTATCAGTATGTCCTATGAACTGATTGTCATTGCTGTGATCTTCAACTTAATGTGAGGTCATCGGGAAGCCCAGAGTCAGTCCCTTTAAGCAGTTACCTGGAAGCATACCTGATAGCTGGCACAGCCCATCAACACGAGCACAGCCAACATTATAGCAAAGTTTTGTCAGAATCAAGTTTTTTTTTTACCTCCACATATACCAAAGCTACTCACTAGAAAAGCAAGAAGTATTTATTACTAAATGCTTCTTTGTTTTAAAGATTATATTCTTGAAATACGTTTTTTTATAGCCACATTCACAATTTATATGAATTTTTAACTGACATGTTATAGACTTTAAAATGTAAACAGTAAATTTACTGCCAAAATAGCAGTTTGGGCTGAATTGCAGCATTAGCAATACATGCAACTGACTGTTACAAGCACAAGAAAATGCTGTAAGATATGTATGATGGTCAGTGCTAGAAGAATTTTGCTCCTGGACTAAGAACTGGAATTAAACACCTGGAATAGTTGTCCTATCCAAGACTTTACATTTCCTTTATTATCAACTGTCTTTTGATTTACGTAGATTTTTGAATGGCTACTCTCAAAGCTTTGAAGTTAAGTTTGTGCGGTAGAAAACCAAGTGTATTCTCTCCGGTCAGTTTGCCAGAAGGAGCGAAACAGGAAGGCACAGGTTTTGGTGAAATGACCCCCAGCATAGGTTCCAACCCACATGAAAATCAAAATGACAGTATTTTCCCTATGGTTCATATGTACACGTATATATGCATGAATCCCAATAATTCATTATTTGTTAGCTAAAATGGCTGCTTCCTGTTTTAGTGTTAAATATCAACAATGTTTTCAGAACTAAATTCTTTAATGACTCGAACATTTACAGGATGTGGTAATATCATAAACCCAACAATGTTGTGAATCTGTTGTATAAGTAGCCACATCCTGCAATTCAAGTTTATGTTGTTGGCCTCATTGGGGTAGTTTTGCCATTGAAAGTCTCAGGAAACCATTCTGAAAATGTCAAAAGTCTTGGAAATACTTTCTCTGTGTAAAATAGCAAGGACACTGACACTAAGTTTTACCCTTACTAGCTTTTATTTCCCACTGCATTCTAAATAGCAAGATAACCCAAAAGGTCAGGGTCAGCTGTGGTACACCAGCAGCAGGCTTGGCTCAAATCCTGCAAAAATTATGTGGGTTTTAAGTAAATTAATACCTCATTTCTCTGACACAATGCATTATGTTAAATACACGCTTTGGCTTTTGCAGGACTGTTGTCTGAAGAGTGCTACATTTTGATGATAAGGACTTTTACAGAGCTGCTTCTTGTGAGCAGGTCATGTGAACACTGCTGTACTGGCTCATCCTGTAAAAACTTCACTGGCATAACTACAGTGGACAGAAGTGCAGCTTTTTGTAGCTGTCATTTACTAACAGTGCACCATAAAAGCCTGTTTCTAAAAACCCAACCCAGCCCTCTGATTACATTAAATGGTTTTTTACTGCTTTATGCCAGCAAAAATCACTGCACCAAGGCCAGTGGAAAATATGGAAAACTGAGACTTTTTTTGACACTTAGGGAAAAGTCACTTACTGACTCTAAATGCAATTTACTTTTAGCTCTTTGTATTGCCTTGTAATAATCCACCCCATGATTACTTAAAGTGGGCACCACTGGGATGTTATTGCCTATTTTAAATGGCATAAGCAGATACCCAAATCAGTTCAGCAATGCAGCCACTTCAGTTCTCTGGTATATCCATCAAGCAGTAAAGCTCTTTAGATCCGTGTCCAAATCCTGAATACTGAACGCAACCCTTAAGTTTGGGCTGTAATGGGTAACACAGAATCCACCTCCCTGCCCTCCCTCAACCCCACCCCATCACATACACCTCTACAGTCCCCAGCACAAGCCTTTTTCCTTCAAGAGAAGAGGAATTATCAGAGATTAAGGAGCAGGGGGCTTGGAGACTTCACATCCCAGGGGAACTACAAGTCAGTGGCTGCCCAAAGCAGCTGGGACTGTGCAGGCCCCGCCTGGATGAGGCTCAACTCAGTCCCTGCCAGGTGAGCTACACAGCAGCTGTTTGCAGTAGTTAGGAAAGCAGCCGTGAGTCAGTCCTTCACTGGAATTGGCACTTGGGAGGAGAAAGCTGGAAAATAACTGGAGAGTCTCCAGGGATGAATGGGCAGGGAAAGCCCGTTCTCCTTCCAGCAGAGGTGTTGTGACAGGATGGTCCAGCTCTGCAGAGCTGGCAGGCAAGCAGCCCATGCTGAGGGGGAAAAAAATAATAATAAGCAAACTTTTTTTTTTTTTAAAAAAAGTTGTATCCTATCTCTTAGGTCCTATCTGTGTACCTAAAATTAACTTCTATTTCATCATGGGCTGCAGGAGAGGGGAGCTAGAAGGTTTTCCAGTCCTGTTTTCTGAGTGATGTTTTTTTTCGACAGGGCTGAGCTAAAAGGATGAACAGGACGTTGCTGCAAGGAAAATAATAAAATCAAAATAAAACTGCTTGGAAGATATCAAAATGGTACCCAGTTCAGAGGTAATTTTTTTCTTGCCTCCAGGCAAAAGGGTTGGTTGAATCTAGGGATTTACTGGACTGTTTCTTTATATCAAATACTGATCCCTTCGGATCCAGACTGTCACGGTATGGAAAGGACAGGTCTGTTTGGGAACAGATCTTTTTGAATATATGCCTGTGATAGATCTTATATGAAAGGAAATCCTTCAGACTGGGAATATGAAAATCCCATGTGTAACATGGATGCTCATCATATGGCATTTACATTTACATTTTTGTTCCACAAGACAGTCTCTCTGCCAAGCGTACTGTTGGCACTTACAAAGATGAAAGGCGTTAGTTTCCACGTAGCCAAAGGTTTAACCGTGTACTCGACAAAGATGCTCAGTGACATTATTTCAGCTGTTCACAGATACACATACACAGATGCTCAAATCTCACATCGCACAAGTTTTTTTACCTAAACACTGGCCTTCTAACAGCCAGTAGCCTTCAGTGCAGGAACAGGTATAGCCCCCCTCAGTATTTATGCAGATCTGGGTGGGGTTACACTGGTGAGAATCTGAAGCGCATTCATCCACATCTGCAACACAGAAATACAGCAAGAAAATATTAGAAATAGCAACAACAAAAGATTGTTCACACTGTACAGGGCCTTGCACTCACAATGTATACACCAGGTCTGTGCAAGGAACCAAAGTGTGATGGAGTAGAGGGAATGACTGCAACCTGAAGTGGTCAGAATAAATGGCTGAGGGCAGTGAGAACTATGGGTGCACATCAAATCTCTCCCTTTTGCAGATGACCCAGTGTTTCTCACAGCTCCTCAAGAAAGAAATTGCATTACCTTGAGTTTTTTATTTCTTCCACATTTGCTTTGTTACTGAACTGGGATTTCCATGCTACAGGGCAGCGTTCAGCCCTAGGGAGAGGGCTATATAACCCCACTGTGGAGTAAGAGATGAATGGGATTTCAAGAGATGTACAAACACAACTCAGACATATAAAAAATGTTACTTCCTACCCCCACCAATGCAGATTATCTCACTGTAATTTTTCTGACAGAAGGTTCAATCAAAATCAACCTTTACCTGACAAAAAAAAGTATATTTCCCTGGAATCAATTTCCTGACAATAAAAATCTTATATTTTCATTTTTTTACCATCCTTCCATCCTTATTGTTTTTAATGTATTTGGTTTTTTATTACAACCCCTTAGGGTGTTTTTGTTGTGGGCTTTTTTTTTTTTTTTTTTTTTTTCCAGAGGAGGTGAATAGCATTCCTACATTTATATAAGCCAGGACCCTGGAACCTAACTGATTAAAAATGCCTTTCAGAGTCATAAGTTCAATTTGAATCCCTCCTTGCTCAATTTCTTCCCTGATGTTTCTGGCATGGGGTTAGCCTCTAGATGTCAGAAATGGAAATATTAAAAGACAAATTGTGTCGGTTTTTTTAGCCAACTCAGATTTCTATGTTTTATTTATTGATAACTAAACTATTTTTTATTCCAGTATACTGTGCACTGGCCTTTGCTGAAGTACTATGTAATCTGAACAATGCTACTCCCTTGAACCCTCCCTGATTCTCATTAACTCAGACTTGGTTGGATCATGACTGAAAGTATCTCACAAACACACTGGGCTGGAGCAGGCAGCAGAGGGCAGGAATTATGTCTCAGTATCTGCCTCTGGGACAGCTAGCACAGCCAGTCGGCTGTAAAATCCCAGCAGTCATGAAATAACTGATCCAATATACCACAGCAGCATATCTAACATGTTCAGTTACATAAATAAATACACACATATTATGTATATGCAGAGAGTCTGGAGTTCTTGACTTGCCAACAGCTGTACCAGAGCTATTTATGGTGAATCAAAGCTGATAAGATAACAAGAGTGGTAGTATCAGTAGTATTTGAACACAGATTTTATCTAATCACAAATTTAATAAGAATTACATTAATGTTTCCTAAATAAAAAAGTTTTGTATTTGTCATGTTTTCTTATTGTTTTAGGAGTGGGACCCTGGGGTCTGGCCAATTCTGCTGCTTCTAGCCTACCCTGAGCTTAGAAAGGAGGTTTTCATTTTCCATGTTCCCTGCTTCCAGTAATATTAATAGGTGAAGCACAGTAGAGACAAAATGAAGGTCACGGTCTTCTTACCACCAGTAGCAATGCTGTTTGAAGACTACAGATCCTCCATTCTTCTGTGGTGCATCTTTCTTGCGGGGGTACAACTGCATCCTTCACCAAAAGCAATAGGTGGCTATGGGATTGGTTTTGTTCCCAAGTCATCTTTGTAGCAGTTGCATGAGCAGCAGTACAATCACTCAGGAAAAGTGAGGCTTTGATCCTCTTTTCTTTGCTATCTGCCAAGCAGATTTCTTTCCTTACTCCTAGTCTTCACCTTTTTTGGTAGTATTGGAGAAATATTTCCATTTGAAGGCAAAAATTTTGCAGTGGAAGCTACCTCTGAAGTTTCTGTTGTCCCTAGCAAACCTGATCAACCTAAAGGTGTCTATGCGGAACACCTTGACTCCCCACATTTTACATTAAATGATACCTCAGTGGCTTCATTAATGAAGTTTTATGAGACCAACAGGTATAAACAGCTCTACTGGTAGCACCAAATCTTTTTGCTTGGGTCTGAGTGCACATACCCAGTTCTATATTACATGTCTCTGTCTTTCTGTATGATTGCCCCTTATCATGATGTGCCATTAAACTCTGACAGGCCCAGCCAATGCAATAAAATCAACTATTTTTGGCAAGCAGTCTTCTTGGTTCAAACAGGTAGTATAATCCAGTCTGTCTGCCAGGGATTATTTACATTACATGGGTTCACTAAGTGAAAGCTGATATTTGCACACTGAGAAAAATGGCAGTGCAACAACTGGCTAACCATCAGGTATCCTCTTGAAGAATATCAGAACTGGGAGACAGAGGGTGCCTTGCCCAGCCCGTTTACATGATGTGGCATAAAGTGAGAACTGGTGTGGCTGATAAAACCAAAACCAGACATTTGGCTGGGAAAGAAAAAAAAACAAAAAACAACAAACCAACTTATTTCCACTGGGGAGAAAACTAGCCATAAAACTTTGAGAGATTCACAGAATCACAGAATGTTAGAGATTGGAAGGGACCTCGAAAGATCATCTAGTCCAATCCCCCTGCCAGAGCAGGAACACCTAGATCAGATCACCCAGGAACGCATCCAGGTGGGCTTTGAATGTCTCCAGAGAAGGAGACTCCACAACCTCTCTGGGCAGCCTGTTCCAGTGCTCTGTCACCCTCACCGTAAAGAAGTTTTTTCTCATATTCAAGTGGAACCTCTTATGTTCCAGCTTGAACCCATTGCCCCTTGTCCTACCACTGGATGTCACAGAGAAGAGCCTGGCTCCATCCTCCTGACACTCACCCTTTACATATTTATAAACATTGATTAGGTCACCCCTCACTCTCCTCTTTTCCAGGCTAAAGAGACCCAGCTCCCTCAGCCTTTCCTCATAAGGGAGATGCTCCATTCCCTTCATCATCTTCATGGCTCTGCACTGGACTCTCTCCAGCAGTTCCCTGTCCCTCTTGAACTGAGGGGCCCAGAACTGGACACAATATTCCAGATGCGGTCTCTCCAGGGCAGAGTAGAGGGGGAGGAGAACCTCTCTTGACCTACTGACCACCCCGCTTCTGATACACCCCAGGATGCCATTGGCCTTCTTGGCCATGAGGGCACAGTGCTGGCTCATGGTCATCCTGCTGTCCACCAGGACCCCCAGGTCCCTCTCCCCTACACTACTCTCCAACAGGTCAGTACCCAACTTATACTGTAATGCATTCACTAGACTCAAGTGCCAACATAGAAGCTATATCAAAACACTCCCAGGGCACTTTTGATTGACTGGAAAATTGCAAGTGGAAACAACCTGTCAGCTATTCAATAATGTGTAAATCATTTCTTATTCTTGCACAGCTTATTATTTCTGTCCCATTCAAACACAAATGCTAGGTGTGTTCATGCCCTGAGAATATAACTTCAAAGCTCACTGGTACCACCTCTGCCATTGTAAGAGTTCCTGAGCCATACTGAAGTAAAACCATGATGCTAAATGTACATGACACTAAATATAGTTTTGCAGGTTCAAAGCAGATAAGAGGAATTCATAGAACAAAAAATCGTAAGGACTACTTAGTACAAGGATAGTACTTGTGGCTCAGACATCCCTGAGATGCAGTTTTCTGGAGCTTAGAAGTGTACCTCTGACTCGGCATGACTTATGTTGCAGTCTTCACCATGGAAAGAAGTAATACAATGACTTGTCTGAGCCCCACAGTAAAGTCTAATCAGCTGGACTGCAGGAGTTACTAAAGTGAGGCAATCTAGCAAGTAACCCTAGAAACCCCACTGCCCCCATTCAAAGTGTTAGCAGATATTGTGATACTTGAGGATTTCGGCATCAGTACCATGAAAGCATCAGACGGTGTCACCCATCACCCATATCCAAGGCTGGCTTCATTATACTGAACCTGCTTCTAGTACCTTTCGTTGCCAAGATCCTTAGAAAACATTACCTGCATCCAAGAGCAAGTCTAGCTTTATTGGATACCTCTTCTGTGATTTTGTCTAGATTCCTCAGTGTGTGGCTACTAGGAAGCAAATATAAATTCAGTCTGTCCTCAGTGAAAACAGACTGAGGTACCTGGTAGTTACTGTGCAGGACAAGGACCCAGCACAGCAGCAGTGACCACGCTGTAGCTCAGGTGCTGAGAACTTAGCCTGTGGGAACTCATCCTTGCTCTTCATCTTCCAAAGCCCTTCATCCTATTTGAACAAAATCTCTGTCATAGTGTAGCCTCCCTCACTGTTTAACATCTAAAACTATTCAGGGCAGGGCCTGTCCTCCTATATACACAGACGGCTCACAATTAGTCCATTTTTTTTTGGAGCCTTCCAGTCCTAATACAAATCAAACTGTACTATGAAACCCTGCATGTCCCACTTGGTGATAAATACCAGTGCCCCTGAATTTTTAACTGGGAATTCAAGACTAAGAATTTAAAGGCCTAGCCTGTGACCACTCAGCAAGACAGAAGCAAGAACAGGTCACAGATATTTCTGACTTGTAGTCCTTCATGTAGCCCAATACAACGTGCCCCTCTTATATGAACTCTTAAAGGTACAGCTTTTTCAGAAATTTTGTGCAGCCTCTACATTGACCAATGAGATCTAAAGTACAACATAAACTATCATTCTGAAAGCATTATGTCCTGCTAGGAGCCCCCAGAGGCATCAAAGGTTCTTTCAGCTAAACTAGTTCCTTCCATGCTACTCAGTGTTACTGTCCTCCCCTAATGACACATTGAATCTCAAAGCTTCCAGTAGTTACTGAAACAAGGAAAGAACCATTGACACAGTCAGTGGCAAACTGAAAGAGTTATCTAGCTGCCCAGACAGGACTGGGACTGATGCTAAAGATCATTGTAAGACCTAATGATTTTGAATGTCCAAATTTTCCTGAGTGACTAGTGACTCTGGGTGACTCCTCAGAGGTTCCTGACTTTGAGAGAGCAGCTGTTCAGCACT